TGGCGGTAAGAGATTTGCGGACAATGAAGAAGTAATCGAAGCTGTAAATGGTTATTTTGAGGAGCTTGACGAATCAGTCTATAGAGATGGCATTAATAGACTGGAACACCGCTATGAGAAATGTATCAGCCTTGGAGGAGATTATGTTGAGAAATAAAAAAAAAAAATTTTTAAAAACCTTGTTTTTCTTGGTCAGGCCGGAAACTTATCAATCCACCCTCGTACGTCAGCTGTTCAAGCACATTCTGAAAATGTCCCACTTTTAAACTATCTATTCTAAAACATAAATTCTTTCTTTCGCCATCAATTAATAGATTTTATTACTTTTAAATTAACATCGTCCTAATTTACTTGAATATTTAGTCGACGTGTGGTCAATCGTACTTATACGATTTTATTGTTCAAAGCCCGGCTGGACTACTTTAAAATATTAAAAAATATGCTCTAATAGAAGCATCAAATGACACTGATTTGCTTTTCTTTTGCATTGTCGGTAGTTCTAATTCGAGTCATTAAGTAAGTGATATTGACAAGAATTTTTCTACTAATCATAAGACAAGGATAACGCCGTGAAATTTGTATTTTTTTAAATCGATTTTCTAATTAACTAAATGGGTTAAAGAATTGTCCGTTCCGAATATAAAATTGCTCAAACTGCATCTTTTATTGTTCATTGCTTATGCGACTTGACCAAATATACGAAAATAAGAAAAAAAAAGCTTAAATCATTATATCTTTTCTTAATACTTTTCAACTTGTCCTATTGAACAGTAAAACTTTTTTTCGATTTGATTATATAGGCACCTGATTATTTAAAAGGTGTATAAGTTCTTTTTTTCTATTTTAGGTTATATACCCCTTAAAAGTTAGGTTATGGTTAGTTTAGGGTACCCCCCCCGATTTTCCCTAATTAGATAATTACATCGAAAGAGTTTTGCGCTTCGATGGGATAAACTAAAAAGTATTAAAAGATGATGCTTTGATGATTAAGGAACATTGTATTTTGTTTTAATGGTATTTTTTGTCAAAGTGCTTAAACAATTAATAATTTATTAAAACCAAAAGGTACAATTGAGGTAATCTAATGTTCGGTGGGGACATTTAAAGAGGAATGTTTTACCCTGTTACACTTTAATTTAAAAGTTGATTTGTTAAAAAGCATTTCGGCTGCGTTACCTTCGACTTCGTAAGTTTCGCGACTTGCTCAACGTGATCTCGAATGAGCTTTTTGTTTTTGATATTGTCTTAGTTTTCAAGACAAGACAAGACAAGATCCATTTAATATTCTTGGCCCTAGCAACACCGAAAGTGGATTTCGTTTCTTAAAATATCCTTTCTAAAATTGATTGATTTCCGTTAGTACCAAAACCAAGTTCAGGATAGAGCGAATTAAAATCTGGATAATGCATTGGTTTAAATTTTTCTTCAGAATATTTTAAATGGTATTTCCTGAATTATATCGGATTATATTACAAGTTACGTCGATTCTGTGTAGAGACCTACGTCTTTTCTAGCAGCATCGACGTGTTCAGTTAACGAAGCTTCTTCTGGTAAGTCGGGATGTCGGTAACTTTTTAAAAAATAACAGGTCCCGGGAATGTCTGAAGGGAATCCTTTCGGTAGCCACTCTCGAGGTCTTTCTTCAAATTCAAATCCTGGATAGTCCTTTAATAGTCTATAACAAACGCAATTAAGTATAAATATTTTAAGGATGTTTTGAAGGTATGTTAAAATGCTACGAGACAAATAAAAATTTGGAAGAACGTTCCTCATTCAATTCTAAAACTCCTGTAAAAATTACAAATCGATTCACTAAACCGTTAAAAAGTTAATGAAATTGTAATTTTACACGTCATTTTATGGAGATTTGTTAACCGAACAGATTAAATTTATTTTTATTAACAGAAAAAAAAGCTACCAGAAATTTCAAACTCTTATAATAAGTAACTTGAACTCTGGAGAATCACTTTAGCGTCAGGTTATTCAAATTCACTAAATGCTTATCGAGGAAGAAATGAAAAATTAGCTGAAAATCTCGTTTTTACTTGATAATATAATGATAATATTTATAATTGTCTGAAATAAATGCAATTTTAAAGTTTTAATTATTATTTAAACATATTAAAAAGTTTTACGCTCATTATTAATAAAGATTGAAACTAAATATTTTGTTGTTTGGAAGTTGAGGTCAAGGCGTATTCACTGCCAAAAGTCAGTTAAAAATTTTCCATATTGTTCGTTATTTCTTATTTTATTCAAAGTTTTTGGTCAAATTCCAAATTTTCTCTTAAACCGTATACTTTTTTTTAGTATGATATGCTGCAAAACCTAATTAATCACGAATTTCTAATTTTATGTACTCTTGTCTCCGATTGTACCTCCCAAATATCCTTAATAAAAATCAAAAGATTTCATAGACCTTGTATTAGGTGTAATACATTCAAACATTTGTAGCCTAATATGGACTAGTCAATTGGTACCTACATACTTATGTAGGATAAAATTTTGGATGCAGAGCAATTATCTGTTTTGAAAATGTGGGGAGTGTAGTGTTAAGTATAAAATTCGGTCTTCGTGGTTGTAAGCCCTCTCTCTCCATTTTAGTGCTTTCTCGAGAAAGTAATATTTACCTATAATTATTTTTTTTTTCGAGTGAGTTCAAGAGACAATTTGTACCTACCTTTGTTTGTAACTACCTACATCCATAAAATTTTTAATAATACATTTTACACGTAGCTGCGACAATAAAAATAAAAAAAGTTCTACATAATAAATACTCTAGTTTTTGTAAACACTTCTTCAATATTCATTTTTCGAATTTCTGGGTGATATAAACTTATTAAATTAAGTGTTAATGGTACCTAGGTACGTAAAAAATGCATGAAAGAAAATTATTTACGTATTATGCAATTAGTTACAAAAAGGTCAGCATAATTTTTTTGAAGCATTTATTGTAGTGTTTAGGAGATATTTTAAAAATACTAATTACACCTCTAAGACTGTCGGGGGCCCCAGGTCTGCTTAGGAGTTGATGTATTTGTAGTGTATATTTTATGAAAAATGACAAACAAGATGAAGTATGTATTAATAATGTGTGTAATACAACTCCATTGTCTAAATTGTCTTTTATAGATACTTATTAAACGTGTTTTGGCTTTGTTTTGGATTTTTTTCCAGCATTGATCGCAATGAAATGTCCAATCCCAGAATTGGTTTTTATACTTTGTGCCTAATATACAGGGTGTTCTACCTAAGTTAGTTTTGTCCATAACTCTGTTTTTATACATTTAATAAACAAAAGATTTTATTAAAAGTGGCCCGGAATGATATGGTGCCTAAAATAATCGATTTTTTCTGGAAAATTGTTAGAGATAAATATTTAAAACCATAAATCAGTAGAAAGGGCTTTTAATTTCGCATCAAACGGTATGTTATAACATGGGTCATTCCATTTGAAAAAAAAAATATTTGTCTTATAAGATTGTCAAAAGTAGGTTTCGATATTTTCGGCTCTAAATAACGTACACATTTTGCCCATATCAAACAAGATACGGTAATACATGCCAAAACAAACTGTCCAAACCGCAGGTTTGTAGCTTTTATGGTTTAGATGCTGTTTGATCATATTTAAAGAGCTAAAATCGTGTTTTCTTTTCAAAAACACATAAATATCTCAAAAATTAGTAGATATAGGTATAGATAACTGTTAACAAAGTCGACCTAAAAGTAAACAAAGAAACCAGAAATGTAAAAATATATAGGGTGTTCAACTTAAAATAACGAACTTAGGTAGCGCCCTGAAGAAATGGAACACCCATATGATTACAGACCACTTTTATAAAAACATATTTTTTATTAAATATATAATAACAGAGTTACGGACGAAAACGCCTTAGATGGAACACCCCGTATACATACGTATTGTAAAATCCTGGATTTTATTTGTTTTCGTCGGTTTGTATTATAGAGTCGTCTTTATCAATAAACGAACCCAAGTAAGGTTTCTTTTTAAAACCGCCCTTTTTGTATCCGTGTGGGTATGCATGTTCTATTTAGTGGTAATATCGAGTTACAAATTAATCCTATTTTCTCGTACTTACTCGTATGTTGTTGGACTAACATTGATTTTCAGTGGTTCGCTGCCCGATTCGAACTTATTTGCAATTGTCACGTTCGGACCAAACATGCAATAACGGGGCATTTTCACCCCTACAACCCCCGCCAAAACTGTTCCCGTGTGGAGTCCGATACGCATCTGGAAAGGCAAATAAAAAAGTTACAGAACGGAAATTGCGTCTCTGGAAAATTTTTTCTCTCTCATTTGAATCGAACGAAAGGCAGAATTTTCTAAAACAAAAACAAAATCAAAGGCATAAAAACTCAAATNATGATATGCTGCAAAACCTAATTAATCACGAATTTCTAATTTTATGTACTCTTGTCTCCGATTGTACCTCCCAAATATCCTTAATAAAAATCAAAAGATTTCATAGACCTTGTATTAGGTGTAATACATTCAAACATTTGTAGCCTAATATGGACTAGTCAATTGGTACCTACATACTTATGTAGGATAAAATTTTGGATGCAGAGCAATTATCTGTTTTGAAAATGTGGGGAGTGTAGTGTTAAGTATAAAATTCGGTCTTCGTGGTTGTAAGCCCTCTCTCTCCATTTTAGTGCTTTCTCGAGAAAGTAATATTTACCTATAATTATTTTTTTTTTCGAGTGAGTTCAAGAGACAATTTGTACCTACCTTTGTTTGTAACTACCTACATCCATAAAATTTTTAATAATACATTTTACACGTAGCTGCGACAATAAAAATAAAAAAAGTTCTACATAATAAATACTCTAGTTTTTGTAAACACTTCTTCAATATTCATTTTTCGAATTTCTGGGTGATATAAACTTATTAAATTAAGTGTTAATGGTACCTAGGTACGTAAAAAATGCATGAAAGAAAATTATTTACGTATTATGCAATTAGTTACAAAAAGGTCAGCATAATTTTTTTGAAGCATTTATTGTAGTGTTTAGGAGATATTTTAAAAATACTAATTACACCTCTAAGACTGTCGGGGGCCCCAGGTCTGCTTAGGAGTTGATGTATTTGTAGTGTATATTTTATGAAAAATGACAAACAAGATGAAGTATGTATTAATAATGTGTGTAATACAACTCCATTGTCTAAATTGTCTTTTATAGATACTTATTAAACGTGTTTTGGCTTTGTTTTGGATTTTTTTCCAGCATTGATCGCAATGAAATGTCCAATCCCAGAATTGGTTTTTATACTTTGTGCCTAATATACAGGGTGTTCTACCTAAGTTAGTTTTGTCCATAACTCTGTTTTTATACATTTAATAAACAAAAGATTTTATTAAAAGTGGCCCGGAATGATATGGTGCCTAAAATAATCGATTTTTTCTGGAAAATTGTTAGAGATAAATATTTAAAACCATAAATCAGTAGAAAGGGCTTTTAATTTCGCATCAAACGGTATGTTATAACATGGGTCATTCCATTTGAAAAAAAAAATATTTGTCTTATAAGATTGTCAAAAGTAGGTTTCGATATTTTCGGCTCTAAATAACGTACACATTTTGCCCATATCAAACAAGATACGGTAATACATGCCAAAACAAACTGTCCAAACCGCAGGTTTGTAGCTTTTATGGTTTAGATGCTGTTTGATCATATTTAAAGAGCTAAAATCGTGTTTTCTTTTCAAAAACACATAAATATCTCAAAAATTAGTAGATATAGGTATAGATAACTGTTAACAAAGTCGACCTAAAAGTAAACAAAGAAACCAGAAATGTAAAAATATATAGGGTGTTCAACTTAAAATAACGAACTTAGGTAGCGCCCTGAAGAAATGGAACACCCATATGATTACAGACCACTTTTATAAAAACATATTTTTTATTAAATATATAATAACAGAGTTACGGACGAAAACGCCTTAGATGGAACACCCTGTATACATACGTATTGTAAAATCCTGGATTTTATTTGTTTTCGTCGGTTTGTATTATAGAGTCGTCTTTATCAATAAACGAACCCAAGTAAGGTTTCTTTTTAAAACCGCCCTTTTTGTATCCGTGTGGGTATGCATGTTCTATTTAGTGGTAATATCGAGTTACAAATTAATCCTATTTTCTCGTACTTACTCGTATGTTGTTGGACTAACATTGATTTTCAGTGGTTCGCTGCCCGATTCGAACTTATTTGCAATTGTCACGTTCGGACCAAACATGCAATAACGGGGCATTTTCACCCCTACAACCCCCGCCAAAACTGTTCCCGTGTGGAGTCCGATACGCATCTGGAAAGGCAAATAAAAAAGTTACAGAACGGAAATTGCGTCTCTGGAAAATTTTTTCTCTCTCATTTGAATCGAACGAAAGGCAGAATTTTCTAAAACAAAAACAAAATCAAAGGCATAAAAACTCAAATACATTAGTTAATTAATTAGTGGTACTAAAATTAGAAATTAGTATTATTGTTAAGAAAATGGTTGCTTTTACGTCCCTAGACAAAAATTTTCAGTCTCTTTCCAGTCTCTCAGAGTCTTTCAGCGTCTCTGAGAGTGTCTCTCACAGTCTTTCACAGTCTCTCAGTTATTGCCTAGGTGTTTTTATGGATCTCTCACAGTCTCTGTATGAGAGACTCGAACGATAAAATTGTTAATTCAGAGATTCGAGTCTCTCACAGAGAGACTGAATGAATAAAACTGAAAAATTGAGAGACTCGAGTTTCTCGTAGAAAGACTGGGATCTCTGAAATATGTTGAACTTAGAAGATTTTAACCATGTCAATGGAGACAACACTTATTGAGATACTCGAGTCTCTCGTTCAGAGATTCGAGTCTCTCGTTCAGAGACTGGATACGAAATGAGGATCTCTCTATGAGCGACTCGAGTCTCTAGTTCAGAGACGCTAAACAGTTTTTTGACAGTCTCTCGACAGTCTCTCTCAGCGACAACAGAGAGACTCGATGAGAGGCGGAGACTCGATTCTCGTTTTCAGAGACTCTGAGGGACTGAACATTTTATCTCGGGGTAATAAGGCTTAAAACCATTCTTCTTAATGGAAGTTCCTATAAAGGGTAAAGAAGAACAAAAGAAGTTTTATACGACATTACAGAGGGGTGAACCGGTTTTAAGTTACGACTATCTCCCGAAAAAGCAATTAATTATTTTTTTCCTTGCTAACAGGATACTACTGTTTCTAAATTTAGTTTATAATTTCCTCGAATAATGCCTTTTAATTTTCGATTGGAATTGCGATATATTGCAATGTGTTTTACAATATTTCAATACCAGATTAATGCAATTGTTCTGAATACATTTTCTTGAAGGTGCTTATTACTTCCACAGCTCATACTGTTCCCTGTTGGTCTGTTTTGTTTTTGTTGAAATTGCTTTCTTTAGTTTTCTTTTTAACTAAAGAATTATTTATTTGCGTTAGCGTTACAGTTGTTTTTTCGTTACCTATTGCTGAGTCGGTAATGCGATTCTATCTTTCTTCTTCACAACCTTGTAAGATGATAAAAAAAATTTAAATCTGACAGGGAATCAATCATAAGGTGTCAATTTCAAATATATATTTTGATATTTCCTCAGAACTTTGCAAATGCATATTCTAACGATCGAAACGTATTACACCCACATCACCACAAGATTAAGTAACTTGTATGTGAAAATTTTCAGAATTTAAAAGACGTTTGCAAAGAGATAGATTATTTTGGATAAAAGGTTTTTTACTTATAGACGTTTAAGAGTTTGATTCATTATTGTAAGTACTTCAGCCTCCACAAGAGACGTTTTTCCTGTAAATATAAATAGCAATACAGTAGGATATAGGTGAATGATAAAGATACAGTGGATAGAGAAGGTTACAAATGAAGCGGTATTAAAAGGAATAGGAGAACAGAGATCACCATGGGAGTCAATTAGAAATAGGCGAAATAGGTTGGTAGGACACCTTCTCGGGCATGAAGGGCTAGTTAGCAAAAACAGGAGCTAAGAGGAGTAGCGATAGACCTAGATCAGATTACTGTTTATAAATAGTTAAGTATGTGGGATGTTCCAATTTTAGAGAAATGTGAAGATTATCTCAGGATAGAAAAAAGTGGAGGTGCGTATTCAACCAGTATTAAGACTGATGACCTTATGATGATAAATACAGCAGAAACCCTAAACGCAACATCGAGGTATAAATTCCTAAACCAGTCTTAGTGAAAATTGGTATGTTTCTAGTTTACGAATCCTAGACAATAATTTTCAGTTTCTCTCCAGTCTCTCAGAGTCTTTCAGCGTCTCTGAGAGCGTCTCTCACAGTCTCTCAGTGATTGCCTAGGTGTTTTTATGGATCTTTCACAGTCTCTGTATGAGAGACACGAACGATAAAATTGTTAATTCAGAGATTCGAGTCTCTCACAGAGAGACTGAATGAATGAAACTGAAAAATTGAGAGACTCGAGTCTCTCGTGAAAAGACTGGGATCTCTGAAATATGTTGAACTTGAAGATTGAATATTTTAACCATGTCAATGGAGACACCACTTATTGAGAGACTCGAGTCTCTCGTTCAGAGATTCGAGTCTCTCGTTCAGAGACTGGATGCGAAATGAGGATCTCTCTATGAGCGACTCGAGTCTCTCGTTCAGAGACGTTAAACAGTTTTTTTGACAGTCTCTCTCAGCGACAACAGAGAGATTCGATGAGAGGCGGAGACTCGAGTCTCGCTTTAAGAGACTCTGAGGGACTACTGAACATTTTTATCTAGTAATTAATAAGTAGGTCTAGCCCTACTTTATGTTTGGAGGCTAATTTACATTGCATAATATTCATTTTGTTCATTAATTTTAGTTTTAATGTAAAACTGGGATTTACTCTTGTTATCTATAATATCTTTGTAATAATTATAGATTCATTATTCATAAGGTTTTGGAAGAGAAAAAGTATGCTTACTTTAGGATAAATTTCCCCTGAGATTAGACCGAGTTGAAGCTTTTCTAAGTACATGAATGCTTTCAAAATTAGACAGACACAAAACGAATGCGATTTCGTATAGGTATGCTATGAAAAGAGACCATTAAGTTTATTGTAGAATGTATCTGTTCCTCAAAAATTTAAAGTTCATTTTCGTTGTTGAAGTCCCAGGCGCATACGGATGCGCCTTAATAGAAGTTTCCGAGAAAAAAACAAAAGTTTTTCTTGAATTCGTTCGTTACATTAGTTGTCCCCGAAGACGTTTTATTCAACTCAGTTTGGAAGTACAAATAATACGAAGTTTGTATTCATTTTACTGTTATTCGAGCCGAAAGAATTATTAAGTAGAAAGTTGTCTTTATTCTTACAAAAGGAATTGCTTCAGTAGAATATGCTTTCTTGTATAGATTAGTATTGGAAAAAAAATTGTAATTTTGTTATGATACTCTAGCTTAGACCTGATCCTGTAAGTCAGTTCACGTAATATGAACAATAACCGAATGTGTTCATTTTATTCCAAAGGAAGTGAACATTTGTATTTTATTGCTCCAATAAAAAAAGTCAGAACAGGACAAGTGGAATACGAAAGGAAGAATTACTCGCCTTTCTACGGGTTTCTCTCTGTTTTATTGCGATCGCTATCATTAGCAGGGTCACGTCATTCGGAAATTAGATTCATTAAATAGAAAAACCGAGTGCGGAGAAAGAATTTTTTCTTAAAGACCCCTGTTGAGAGAGAAGTTAACTTGTAAATAGCGAACAAAGCGATTGTTCAGAAAAACACTTTTAATAATTAATTCGTTAAGAGAAGGAAACGGAAATCAATATTTACCCCAGGATACATATATCCCTATCCTCAAGGATTTATAACGATAATGAAAATAAGATATACCTACATACATATATAAAAAATTCTAAAATAGTAAGAATTATGGCTTAATTCGCTAAGAATACTTGGTTGATTATAGAAATATAGTAATAGAGCAAGCCGTTTCCATTTAATCCTGTATTCTACTATCAATAGTGAGAGAGAATGTTGCGAAAAAGCCCTCTATTGGTGTCCTGCTCAAGTAAGGCGAGCATGCGCAAACGAGCTGTATCTGTTCGAGATTGCAGTATGCATGCTCGTCTAACTACAGAAGGACAACAACAAGAGGTCTCTCGGCAGCGTTCTCTCTTACTTTTTTCTAATTACGCTGTAAGCGTAAGCCTCAGCCCATTCTCTATGTCTATGGATGTTAATGCTTGAACCATTTTACGACAATGATTCTTTTTAAGACATTACCTACTATGCTGAAGCTTTGCAGACAACCATTGAGGTCTATTTTATTCTTAAATTACTAGCAAATGTTAAATATTGGACGAAGGAAGAAATGGTTTTGTCTATTTACGTGAAAATTGTAGCAATTAACACTATGACCTAACGTTGAATGAAGGCTTGATTGTTGCAAATGAAGTACATTGTTTTCGGAAATTTCGGTGAAAACTATTTTCCATATCATTCAGCACGGTTATCATTTATTATCATATTGTTGTGAATAACAAAAGTGTTGACATTTTGTCCAGTTGATTAAATTACACTCCATTGTGATTTTCCGTTTTAAAAATATTATTGTTATAAAAATAAACATTTCAGTGTACCAACTTGTTTTCTGAAACATTATTTACGTTTACAAGAAAAATATGTCTAAGGTATTTAAAAACATTTATAAACTGAATTTTTTAATCTGGTTTGCGATTACTTAAAAACGGAAAATTACAACAAGGAGAAGTGACAAGTCACTAAAACCGTTCTTGCGCCATCATTTAATTTTCATAAGCTATTTGTTTTATTTCTTCTAGCAGAAATATCATTTACATTTCAAAAAGTTATCCCGTCGAAGTTGTGATCCCAATGGACGTCCTTTTTGCTTTTTTAAAGTTTTCTTGGTTTATAATTTTTCTTATATCTACAAGTATATTTTTTTCATTTTATCAACATTTTTTTAAACCAATCCATTCGTCATTAGCAATTATAGCAGAAATTTGAAGTGCCGTCTTCAATGACGTTCTCATAATCACGTTGTAGATGATAATGAGAATTTCGATTGTACTAACAGTAACAACCTAAATTTTATCTATACAACGGCTCCATGAGCATTTGTGGACTACGTGCTTCTTAATATTACTATAAAGCGTTTTTTATTTATATCTCAAATAAATCGATTAAATGCTAATGACGCGTCATGACGTCATGGCATTTGTAAATAAGATCTTATATAAGTGTGCATGATATTTTCCTTAAAATGAAAAAAAATTATCCCATGCCCTTTTCATTTAGGCATTCGCGA